ATTTGGCCACGTAGTCGGACCTCTCCAATTTAGTGGAGATGCCAGCGGGGAAACACCACACGGAGACTCCAGTAAAAAGTGCGCTCAAGCAAGCCCACACCATGACCACCCCGCCTAGAGCAGGGCCTCAACGCCGAGCGAAACCCCGCCTCACTCCCAAGGGATGGGCGACGCACCGCCCGGCGCAGCTGCTGCTGAAGGGCCATCCGGAGCAGCAGCACCTCCTGAAGAAGATGCCGGGGTCAACACCGCAGCGTCTGCAGCCTCCATCGAGCTCTCCGGTTACGCTGGAGACCATCGAGAAGCTTCTCAAGCCCATTCGAACAGACACCGCGCTGATCAAAACAGATGGAGCTTCTCAAGCCGACCTTCACTTTGCAGTGGCACCATGAGAGGCAGCCGTGGACGTGTTGAATGACTGTGGATAACGAGGTTCAAGATATCATTCTTGGTGCTACAAACATGGAAGACCGCATGGATGAAGAGGCAGACAATTTGAACATCCGATCGAACATACCAGAAAAACACTATCGGATCCGACAACAACTCCTCGTTCGGCTTCCGGAGCACCACACACCACGGCCTTGGACTCTAAACTTGAGGACTTGGAATGTCAAGTTTTGGCACTACAACAGCACAAGCCGGCAAACAACGCTGATACTTACCACGCGCATCGGAATCGTGCCGTCACGACCGTCGCCGGTAACCTGAACGACTTCGAATCCGAGACCTCCACGTTCGCGTTCATGCGGGAACGACTATCGACGATGAGCGATCCAATTCCAACTAACATGTACTCGAAAGGCGCGTTTGGATTATTCCTTGAGTTTGGAGACATGCTCGAAGGTCGAAGGAGACATGGCCGTTGCACTCTACGTGTGCAACGAGGTGCTAAAACAGTATGGACATGTTAAGATCGAGAGCCTTCGGAAAGAGCTGCCCGCAGTCTCGCATTTGGGCAGAAATATTGACTCAAAGACGACATGCACAACGAAAACATCATCAAGTACCCGACAATGGACCCTACCAGGTACATGTCGGAGGAAATTGGCGCTTACTGTGCATGTGAGCCCTGGCGGTGTCCATCGGGAGTGGGCGGAGGATGGGAAGAATTGGCATGAATTGCAAAACCGCGCCAAAACGACAACATTGGTGGACAAACACTTTTGATTTCCATTTCTTTGAGCTCAGGGTATGCGAAATTCAACGTGGATGGGGATACAGACACCAACTCTCCACGTGACCACCTGGACACAAGCAACGCTACCATTACTGGGACTAGTGTAATCGGCGGCGCCATCCTACTTGGGCATCCATCCCCGACTGGGCTGGGCAAAGATACCACCCAGTCGTCCATGAGCGTGCCCCAGCAAGAATCTGAGCATCTTCGTGTAAGCTCATGACACTGGGCATGCGGAGCTGGGCCAAACTACAAACATCAGACCAGTTGTCAAGCAGACAGACAAAGACCGAGTGCAAGTTCCACCGTCCACTACCTCATCAATCTCGCGTTCATCGCCAACGTTCCTCAAGTATGCCACTTTGAATGTCCGTGGCCTCATACAGATGAAGGGTGAAGAGTTGAGCAAAAACACATGCACGAGTACACGTTGGCTTGCTGTGCGTTCAAAAATGGGTCTCTAAAGCCGACGTGCACACACACACACACACGATGAAAACATTCAACCATACAAACGGTCGCACATGGGCAAGGGTTCGGATCATAGTCGAACCGCCCGTTTGCAGACATATTACATCTAGCAAACAAGTGTAATCACGGTTGAGCATACTCACACTGCGAGTGTCGGGGAAACAATAGCGCTAACTCTGCGCATACGCACCACATAATCTTAAACTTGTGCCTGCACGCGCGGGCTTTCAACACGTATTGAACAAAGAATGCAAAACTTGCGACGTGAACCTTGAGAATCATTCAGGCAAATCTTAATGCACGTGTGGGCGAGGCGCATCCCGGAGAACCTGTCGGAGAGCATGGCTGGGGGAGGGAAGCCGTGCACGAAGTGGAATTATTCAAATCGAGAGCTACTACTAAAATTCTTCGCGCAGGACTTGTGATTGCAAACGCCCTCTTGAATCAGAGTTTGGACATGAAAGTCACTTTCCTGGAAGCTGGAGTGCTACCACTCGCTGCCATCACACCGACAACTCATAATGTCTTGGACTTGGTTTTATGCGAACCTGGATGATTGGGATCATTTATTCGGCAACCACTGACGAGCAGTGCTAGCTACCGGCCACTACCTGGTATCAAGGTCACTGGGAATTGAAATTCCGTCTGTCGTCACCAAACAGATTTCAGGTTACGACAAGACGGCACTCAAGCATAAAGATGTCCGCGAAGCTTTCACGAACATATTCAATTCCAGCGGGGGGGCGGCCGACACTGCACAACAAACTTGGGAGAACATGTAACGTTCGATCACTAAGGCTGAACGCGTTTTGCACCACAGAGGCCTGAAAACATAGCAGCAATGTGTCTCTCAAACGACTTTGAATTTCAAAGATCAGAAGAGCTTTTCACAATCTTCTCAAAATACGATGGTGGAAAGGTAGCTACTCAAACAAATAAGGAAATCAGCTAAGCAAGATAAACAGTTCGGATAGACCAGCAACTCGCCGATGGATGTTGGGCATCACTTAAGTGCGTTTGCCGGTCGCAGCCACGCAGGCAGGGAAGGATCAGAAATATAGATGGCGAACATGTTGAAATCACAGACAACGCAGATACAAAGGCGGAATACTTCGAACAAGTGCAATGGAAAAATCGATCTGCGATGATCATTCCGCGTGAGCCACTGGGACCACCACTGCTTACTTCAGGCAACACTTTCTCAACGCCAGAGGTGCGAACAGCGACTTCTAAATTGAAGAAAGGGAAAGCACCTAGGCCAGACGGCACTTCGCCAGAATATTGGAAAACCCTTGGAGATAACCCCGAAAGGCTGAAGACGATTACGAAACTGATGAATCAATGCTGGCACGAGAAGCAAGTACCAGAAGATTCGCGGCACGCAGTGGTGGCGACCACATACAAGAACAAAGGCCCCGTGGACCAGTTCGACAGGTATCGCCAAATCAGCCTTTTATGTGTGATGTACAATTTGTTCGCCAGTTTCTTATTGACGAGGCTCCAAGCCCCAAGGGCCGAAAATAAGCTAACTGGGGCACAATACGGGTTCAGGCGGAAGCCGGCACGACCGACGCCGGTCATGCAACGCGCAGGCATATTGAGCTAACACGCGCTACACGCGGGGGCAGAGCTGTACTATTGGCTCTAGATTGGAAAACAAACGTGAACTCGAAAAACGTGGGCGCCCTCTTCGATGCACTCACGATTTCCGGCGTGCCGCCGCAGTTGCTGCAGCTCATTGGCAACATATACGGTTGTTGAACTTTAGGAACCCCGATTTGCAAGCATACTGTGACACATCAAACTCTGCCTGTTGCGGAAAAAAAAAATGAGTTTGGTAAAAAAATAAAACAAAAAAACAAGCGCAGGACAAAACAACATACTATGAAAAACGCAACATAAAAAAAACAGCCGCGCAACATAAAAACAATAACAGCCGCTGAACAAAACAACGCCGAAAAATAAACGCCATCGCAAACCGCTGTCAACATATAGCGTGCATATTGCTTACAATGTTAGCTCGCGAATGTAGCGACGGCTGCGCGCAACTGGCGGCGTCCAGGGCGGCTAAGCCTACGTCTCGCTTGGATCCCCATCGGGGTCGCGTTCCGCTGGCCACCCCGACGAACTCACGAAAGTAACGGGTTTTGCGAGCTTGGCGCCAACGCAAAAAATTAAGGCAAAGCATGCATGCAAAGCCTGATCTGGAATTACGTTGATCGCTGAGCAGCGCCACGAACGGTGAGGCTGATGCATAAACGAGCGGTGGCCCATAGCAGGACACAGGCATCTGGCACAGAACTGACGGCAGCTGCTAAACTGCGATGTTCAATGGTCTTGCAAACGACCCTGTGCGCCCTGAGTTTCGACTGAACCCTGAGGTTCGAAAAGTTGAACGGCCCCTAACCGCCGAGACCAAGATGAAATCTGAATGGGTTCCGCGGAAGCCGACAGGCATCCCCGAATATATCGCACCTCGCGGCCGGCTGGCAGGGCCAACTCGACAACGACCCAGTTGCACCATGCTGGGCCCAAGGGAGTTGATCTGGATCATTCCTGGCCCATTCCTGCGAAATTTGATTTGTCTGGGGGGTGGAAGAGACCTTGCAGCATCCCACAAGGAACCCACGGATCATGTACCCAGGGCTTCTTGACCGAAAGACAGCCTATCTTGGGCCGCCCTCGCTGCCTCCAGCATGCGAAGGTTTGCGCCAGGGTCTGACCTCTCAGAGGGAACATCCCTTATTCTGCGCCCCCGCCGTTACAACTCTAACCGCGGGGCGAGCTGGCGCGGGGGGCGGGGGTCGGCGAGGCCGGGTGGAGGGGACAGCGGTTGCTAACAAAAGACGCCACCCACAGAAGTGCGACAAAATGATTTATCCGCCACGCGAGCACAACAAGACATCGATGATGCGCCAGGCTTCCTCTCTGGCACGTCAGCGCCTACTCCTCATAATCCCCTCCGTTCCTCCTCCTCCTCCTCCTCCTCCTCCTCCTCCCCTAGGCCCCTACCTCCGCCTAGTGAGGGTTGCGAGTGCACTTGATGAGTTTGTTGGCCTTCAACTTGGGTCCTTGTGGGTGGCCTGCAGGGCGAACCGCGGGCGTGCGTGAGGAGTTTGTTTGCTCTCAAGATGGTTCGTTTCTGGCCTTGTAGTTGGTTCGTGGCCCCTCCTCTTACCATCCTCATTCTCGTCCTCGCCCCCATCGTCCTCCCCATCGTCCTTTCTCATCCCTGCCGCGAGGGCGGACCCTGAGGAACCATTTTGACTGATTTGTTTTTATGGTTCGTCCTTCTCCTCCTTCCTCCTCCTTCCTCCTCCTCCCCCTGCCCATCTTGCCCCATCTTGGCCTACTTGGCTATAGCTTTGGCCTTGGCCGCCCCTTTGGGCGCGGGTTTTCGCAAATGCTTGAATGCGTTTGGCAACGCATGGAACGACTGCTGTGGAGAATCAACAGAACTCGATGCAACTACCGAGGCGCCAGCGCTCAGGCTGTTCACGGGTTGCGGGGGCTGCGAGCACGCGACGACAGGGTCGGGGAAATTTATCTTGATGGCACCCCTGTCCGGGTCCTTGCCCCTGTTATGCTCTGCGACCTTCCGCTCGAGCGGCTGTTCGAATTTGGCGTTCGCCAAGAGGCACGCCAGTAAACTGCCGACTACTGGCACGCCCATGGTATTGCCAGCCAAGTCGGACAACTCTGCGTTTGTGAGCCCGCCCAGGCAGACATTATGAGCAAAACCCTGCAACGACAACAACTCGGCGCCACACACCAGTCGCCGTTTCGTTGAAAGCCAGTAGTCATGGTGCCTCAGAACGCACGGCATGCGACCAGCCTTGGAGAGATCCTTATCCTGCGGGTAGGCCATGGACACGGTGAGGTCCCAGATGAAAAGGACTGACGAGATGTCGATGTTCAAAACCTCTTTGGCCACCCACGCGTGCAAGCTCAGCATGTCTTGCTGGCGAACCTGCAACAAGTTGAACCACGCATCATCCCCCGTGCTTCTATACCAAGCGGCGGTGTCGTCAGGAACGTCCAACAGGTGCACGCTACGAAGCGTGCGTCGAACCTCGTCGTGCTCTATTGCCCATTCAGTGTCCTTCGAGGCCTTCTTAAAGTGCCTCCCCTCCGATACACACACTAGATGTTCGAATAGGCGCTGCACCTCAGGATGGTCATCTTCGAAGAAGAATGTTTCCACGCCAAACCGATCGTGCGTAAGTTCAGCCACCATGTTGTTCAAATCGCCCTCCCAATCAAGAATCTTCTTGAACAGCGTCACCTTCTCGAGGTTCACCGCGACCACGTAGAGCCGCTCCCGGGAGCTCGGCAAGCCAAACTGAAGATTGTCAAGCGCGAAGGCATCGATCTCGTAGTGAGGGAAGTTGTCGGCAAAGTACTGGAGGATGACCTTTACCGTGTTCTTGCGGTTCAAATTCTCGAGTATGACGACGCTGGGCGCCCGACGTTCGATGTACTCGAAGCTGGCCTTCAACGTCTGCGAGCTGCTCCCAGCGTCGGCATCTTCGATGTCCAACGGTTTAGCGTGGCGGTTCAGCGCGCACAGGTCATGGCACTCGAAGCCAGCGACGTATATGTTCACGCTCTTAGATGAAAAACGGCCCCCATCAATGGTGACACCAGTAGCGCCCCTGGCGCACATGTCAGCGAATAGCACGTCTGGTTCCGGACCGTTCGCCAGGATGAACGCCCTCTTCGAGTCGCCCTTCTTCGACGGGTCCTCAGATGCGAACTCGTGGTGGACGCCGAAGGAGGCGTCTGCCTCGCGGGTCTGCATCGCCTTCCTGATACAGCGCAAGGCCTCAAACGGTGCATTGGCACCAGTGGCATCCGAACCGTAAGTCAAGACACCGCGGGAAAATAAACGTCGAATTTGGTCTGCATCGAAAGACTTGAGCGCCCTCTCGACCCACCATGTCTCCATGTGCGGGTCCTTTGGTTACGGCAAAAACAGCGCCGACGCTGCCCGCGCACATCACCGCCACCACAACCGCCGCGCGGCCTGGCGAGCCATGAGGCGGTCTGTGGCGTTGGTGGTGGCTGCAGTGGGATAGGAGGGCTGAGGGGACCTCAACGTTCCTTCAAGCCTAGCAGTCCTGGCCGGGGCCGCCGCCAGCGGAGTCGCCGCTGCGAAGGGCGAGGGCCATGTCCCCATGCTCGCCCTCGTCGGGCAGCATGTCCAGCAGGTCCTCGACGTCGACAGCATTCGGCTCCAGCGGCGCCTCGGTGTCAATGTCAAGCTCCACGGCAGGGGGAGTGGGGGGCGAAGGCTAAGTAGCGGCGCCCAGTAGCGCGCCGCAGGGACTGCGACTCCCTGGAAGGGGGGCAAGCAGAATTCCGCATCAGTCTCACAGTCAGCGCGACCTACTTCTGACTTCGCCCACTCGCCCCCCCTGAAATGACTGCGAACGACGTTAAGGGGTCGGCAGGCCCTTTGCCTCTCAATCGCTTCCTCGGCGGCACCAGGGGGGGGCCGTTCCCTGACATCGCGGTCGCTATGGCCGCGGGAAGCAAGGACGGCGACAGAGCAGCACCTGACGTTACCGCTCTGGCAGCTCGAGGAGCCCAGCTGCAGAAGTCCGAGGGCCTCCAATGGGAACGGAAAGACAGAGGGCCCTCGATAATCGTCGACGTTGGCCCATTCGGTTTTCTGAAACTGCAACGCATGCGCGATGCAGACTAAGACGGTCTTAGTCTGCATCGCGCATGCGTTGCAATTGTAAGAGGTAAGACCTCCCTTGGCCGGGGAGTGTAGCATTTTCGGTCCGCAACGCCACAAGGGATTGTTGCAATTTCGGTCCGCAGGGGAACATATCCGATGGCCGACATCTGCTATCCCGCTAAGTGGGATTGATCTTTACGGCCCATGCAATGCCATGCTACGCTAGGAGGCCCCCCGCCGCCAGGAGGCCAGGGGGATAAGCGGCATACCATCACCCGGGACTCCATCGTAACAATTTCGGTCCGCAGGGGATTGTAGCAATTTTGCCCCGCAAGGAATTGTAGCAAATTTGATCCGCAGGGGAACATATCCGATGGCAAACATCTGCTATCCCACTCAGCGGGATTGGTCTTTTGCTGTAGCCCATGCAATGCCATGCTAGGAGGCCCCCGGCCGCCAGGAGGCCAGGGGAAAAAAGGCGGCATAACATCGCCCGGGACTCAATCGTAGCAATTTCGGTCCGCAGGGGATTGTAGCAATTTTGGCCCGCAGGGAATTGTAGCAATTTTGATCCGCAGGGGGGCATATCCGATGGCCGACATCTGCTATCCCACTTAGTGGGATTGGTCTTCTGCTATAGCCCATGCAACACCACGCTATGCTAAGAGGCCCCCGGCCGCCAGGAGGCCAGGGGAAAAAAGCAAGACAACATCACTCGGGACTCCATCGTATCAATTTCGGTCCGCAGGGGATTGTAGCAATTTTGGCCCGCAGGGGATTGTAGCAATTTCGGTCCGCAGGGGATTGTCGCAGCCGTAACCCGCCAACCGAAGCCAAGCAGGAGTCATGCCCCATACGCCCTATGAGCCCCATGAGCCATGAGCCTTGAGCCTTGTGAACCTGGTAAGCCCTACGAGCCTTATGAGCCCCATGATCCCGATGAGCTCTATGAGCACGATACCTCTTACGAAAGCTACGAGCCCTATGACCCCGATTCCGATGAGCTTTATGATCCCTGTGACCCTGTGAGCCCTAAGAGCCTCATGAGCCCCGTGAACCTCATGGGTCCTAGGAGACCTCATCGGCCCCTCATCTAATCGACATCCCTCTGGGCCCCACGAGCCCCATGGGCCCTCCTTGAGCCATCTCGCGAGCGATGCCGACCTCCTTTTCGCAAAGCCCTCGGGGGCGGGCATCGTGCCGAACTCAGCTGCGCAGCAGCATCGATCCACTCTGACCCGTGCTTGCACAGGTCCCCACGTGGCCAAAAAGCGCTAGCAGCATAGCTTAAGCTGCAACTCTGACTCTGGCAGGATGCTAGACCCCGCTCAGGCGGCGTCGACCTCCGGGGCGCGGAACAGCTCCACCGACGACGGCTTCAGCTCCACGCACCTGTCCTTGACTATCTTGGGGAGGCTGTGCAACGGTAGTTTCTTGATCTTGACTTTCTTAATGAAGTCGTCCACGACGGCTGAAGGGTTCGAGCCGTCGGCGGACATCTTGGCATCGGACATGTTGACGTGGGCGCTCACCACGCAGATGGCAACGAGCACGGCCGCAACCTTCACCCCTGCCACCTCGAGCATCGCCTTGGACCCGGGCATCTTAATGTGCTTCAGCAAGTGGTTGTACATGGAAACGATGCCAGCGTTATCCACTGCGGACCGCGCGCTCATCTTCTCTGAGAAAGCCGCCCAATCAGGAAGAGCCACTGCCTGGTCGATCGGCTCCATGAGCCTGTCGGCCTCGGCCATCGCGTCGCTGATGATTTTGTCGGCTGCTTTGAAAAGGAAGGCTTCGTGAGCTTTCTCGATGGCCTCCTTGCGAGAGTTCAGCGTGCTCAGGGCCTGAGCCGCGTCGACGAGGATGGATACAGCCCTGACGTGGTCGATCATATGTGAAAGCGTCGTAATCACATCCTCGAAATCCTTGGCGGAGAAGTCGATGACCTGCAAGGTTGACCCATCACTGCCTTGAAAGGCTTTCATCTTGCCGCAATCGTCAAGCACGGCCTCGACGAACTTCGCCGCGGAATCCTTGCATCGCGCGACGGCTCCGTTCGAGAACTCTTCCGGGAAGAACTTGGTGATGTCATGGGCCGCGTCTTTCTTGAAGGCTTCTCCCAACTTCTTGACATTCTCGGCGAAGGTTGAAATGTCCTCCATGGCAAGCTCGCCCTCCACCAAGCTGTAAGCAAACTGGGCTGAAGCGACTGCCCCCTTGAGGGCTGGCAATAGCTTGTGGGTTGCTGATGTAGCGTCGCTGGGCGCCCCAAGCGAAGACTGCATGTAGTCGAAGACGGCGGTGAACTCCTGCTGATTGATCTGCTCAGCCGCAACGCCCGATGCCATATAATCAGACATTGCCTTGCACACAGCCTGGATGAAAGGCTGCAGAGTCGCATCCTGGCGCTGCAACCACATCTTGCCCTTCTCCAGGCACTCGGTCTCATCGGCAGGCAAGTTGAACAGCCACTCCTGCACTTTGCGGATCTGCGCGAGGAGGAAGTCCCCGATCGATGACTCGATGAAACCCCTGTCCCCCAAATCAGCGATGGCGATGGCGGTCGGCAGAGAGTTTCCAGCCGAGGCAGCCTCGCCACCCTCCGAACTCGCGAAGAAAGATTTCAATGACGACACCGCCTGAGCGACAAGCTTACAACATATCGACTGGTCGCCACCGCGACCCAGACTTCAAAAGCGAGGGCCGCGACGACATCCGATCGATATATTGTTACCCTCTCGCCGCCCGCCTCTTTTCCCAGGGCCTGCTCCTTCGCTGCCTCGGCAACCGCAACGGCTTTGGCAATCAAGGACTTGCCCCTGGGAAAACTTGTCACCGCCTTGGCGAAGACGCCCAGGTTGACAACCGGGAGGACCGCGCTCTGCAAACGCTCCGCCTCCACCTGACATGGGAACAAAATGGCAAGCATGGCGTCCATCCCCTCGGCAGTGTCGGTATTCCCAAAGCAATAACGGTTGGCGACGGCAGCGCTGCTCAAGTTGCGAGTCATGGCCTGGAAACTCGCGCCCAAAGTGTTGATGTCGCCAGCGGCCGGGTCGGAGTCCCGAACGTTTGAAAGCCTCCCGATAGTCATGATCACCAATCTCTGCTGCTCGGCTGAGGAAGACATCGAATCAGTTTTGCGAGAACGACTGATCGTTGCGACCACCTCGTCCATGTCCGCAACGGTGCCAAGGGTTTCATTGCGGGGGCGGTTGTTCCCTGGGAACAGCAGGCTGATCAACTTGGTGACGTTGCTTGAGATGGCGAATTGGGTCGCGAGGATACCGAGATACTTTGAGATCCAATCAGGCATGGGGAAGTACGCCATCGTCTCTGTCGAAGGCATCCATGACGAAAAACCATCGTTGTATCCAGGAAGGGCATCCCGGCGCTCGTGGAAAGCATGGCAGCTCTCCCACATAGGCGCCAGTTTGGAAAACAGACTGTCTGCGTTGGCTGATTTGGCCTCCAACTCCTTACGGAACTCTTTCACTGATCCCACCGCGTTGATCAAGCACCACGCTGCCTCCGCCTCCGGGAGAGTTATCCAATTCTCCTTCTTGGACACTTGGTCTAAACTTTGCTTCAACTTCGTGCAGCTGGATTTGAGGGTCTGGTCCTTGCCGATATCGCGAAGCATCAAGGCGTGGAACATTTTCAGCAAGTCCGAGAAATGAGCGTGGAAACGCTTTCTACGCTCGACCTCAGTGGCGTTTAAGTCCTTATCATGCTTGGTGGAACTCTGCAGCAGCGCGCACTTGGCGAAGCCGTCGGAACCTTCAGGGATCGGCCATACTGCGGCCGAGTGCGACCGATTCTCCGGCTGACTGCCCATGACCTCGCCCTGCGGGCTGGCGCGCGGAGTAGAGGCCGATGCCGCAGCTGCCGAGGCAGAGCCCGACGCAGCTGAAGCCCCTGGCTTTGGCTTCGCAGCCGCCTTCTTCGCTGGGGCCGTGTTCTTCTCGACGCCGACGAAGTCCTCGAACCTGGCAGCTGCGTCTTCCTCCTCTCGCTCTAACAGTTCCAAGTAGTCGGGCTCTAGGCTGTCCTGAGGCAGCGGATGGGGGGCCCAGGGGATGCGAGGCGCGGCCAAACGAAACCCCATCGGCGCGGCACGCGAACGGCGCAGCAAAGCCTAGCGCATCAAAGCGTTGCAAGGCCGAGCATTAGATAGCACGCAGCATTGCATCGCGGCGCATAGCATTGCATACAGCGAGCGACAACTCGCCAAAACAAATGATAGCCCCCCCCCCGCAGTGATCACCCAACAATTGCCCCCCACATGTCATTGCCACTGCCCTTCAGCCCAGCCGCCAGCGCGGCCCGATCGGCATCGGCCGAAGAAGGACTGATCATCGGGCTCTCCCCGGAGAGCTTCGACTTCGAAGGAGGTGTTCTCAAGAGTGCAGCTGATGATGACGCCAACGCTGATTGATTCATGGCATGGGTGATCTGGTTCGGTAGCAGTGACCTCTCGAACTCGGCAAACGATGCGGACATCTCGGCATGGGTGGCCTGGCCAGCCCCCTGGTCGAGGAGATCGACATCCTTGAGGCGCCGAATCTCGTTGTCCTCAGTGTAGACCCAGCCCTTGGGCTTCTCGGGGACCCAAATGCATTTCTGTTTTTTTCCCCTCGTGAAATCTCATGACTTGCTTCTCCTGGTCGGCGCTCGCCTGGCCGAACTCCTCCACGTACGCAGCCACGGTGACCCACCAACCTCGTTTGGATGAAACTGTCTCGTGTACCTTTTCCACCTGGATGTATCAGTTGGAAGCTTTTTTCGGTAGCGATGCCAATCCTTTCTCGTACATGTCTTGCATGTCTCTCTGTGTTTCGTTGCGTGCCACATCCCAACGACGGACGAACGGTTCCTCGACCTCCTCAAACTTGCGCTTGCATCCCGCCTTGCCGTACCCT